AAGGATAATAAACTTACAACTATATGTACGTTATTTCGACAACTGAGAAGAAAAGATTCCTTGTAAAGCACCACTTCACCAAAACTACAACTAGATTAAATTTAAAATTTTGAAAAGCCTGTATCTATTAAAGAAATCGAACTTGTGATCAGTACCTGCCCACAGAGAAAACTCCCGACTCAAATGGTTTTACTAATGAATTCTACCAAACATTTAAGGAAGAAGTAATGTCAATTAAACTAATTCTTTTAAAACATACAAAAGGAGGGAATAACTCTCAATACTTTTTGAGGCCAGCATAATCCTGAAACCAGAAAAGCACAAATATCAAAAAAATGAAAATTGTACAAGGCACAAAGGCCAGAAAGAAAACGGTAAATCCACAAATATAGACAAAAAATATTTAACAAAACACTGGCAAATTAAATCCAGGAATATATAAAAAGAATAATACAGCACAACCAAGTAGAATTTATCCCAAGAAGTCAACCTTGGTTAAATGTTTTCTTAAAAAAAATCAATGTATCCTGAAGAAGAAAAATGGAACTGAAGGAATCAGGCTCCCTGACTTCAGACTATATTACAAAGCTACAGTCATCAAAACAGTCTGGTACTGGCACGAAAACAGAAATATAGATCCATGGAGCAGGATAAAGCCCAGAAATAAACCCATGCACCTATGGTCAATTAATCTATGACAAAGGAGGCAAGAATATACAATGGAGGAAAGACAGTCTCTTCAATAAATGGTGCTGGGAAAACTGGACAGCTACATGTAAAAAAATGAAATTAGAACACTCTCTAACACCATACACAAAAATAAACTCCAAATGGATTAAAGACCTAAATGTAAGACTGGACACTATAAAACTCTTAGAGGAAAACACAGGCAGAACACTGTTTGACATAAATTGCAGCAATATCTTTTTTGGATCTACCTTCTAGAGTAATGAAAATAAAAACAAAAATAAACAAATGGGACCTAATTAAACTTTAAAACTTTTACATAGCAAAGGAAACCATAAACAAAATGAAAAGACAATCCACAGAATGGGAGAAAATATTTGCAAATGAAGTGACTTGACAAGGGATTAATCTCTAAAATATACAAACAGCTCATGAAGCTCAATATCAAAAAAAACAAACAACCCAATCAAAAAATGGGCAGAAGATCTAAACAGACATTTCTCCAAAAAAGACATACAGATGGCCAAAAAACACATGAAAAAATGCTCAACATCGCTAATTATTAGAGAAATGCAAATCAAAAATACAATGTCACCAGTCAGAATGGCCATCATCAAAAAGTCTACAAACAATAAATACTGGAGAGGGTGTGGAGAAAAGGGAACCCTCTTGCACTGTTGGTGGGAATGTAAATTGATACAACCACTATGGAGAACAGTATGGAGGTTCCTTGAAAAACTAAAAATAGAGCTACCACATGACCCAGCAATCCCACTCTTGGGCATATGTCCAGAGAAAACCATAATTTGAAAAGACACATGCACCCCAATGTTCATTGCAGCACTATTTACAATAGCCAGGACATGGAAGAAACCTAAATGTCCATCAAAAGAGGAATGGATAAGGAAGATGTGGTACATATATACAATGGAATATTACTCAACCATAAAAAAGAATGAAATAATGCCATTTGCAGTAACATGGATGGACCTAGAAATTATCATATTAAGTGAAGTCAGACAAATATTATATGATATCACTTATTTGTGAAATCTAAAAAAAATTAATCAAACTTATTTATAAAACAAAGAGACTCACCGACTTCAAAAACAAACTTATCGTTATGAAAGGGGAAATGTGGGGGGGGGTATAAATCAGGTGTTTAGGAATAACATATACACACTACCATATATATATATAATGTGTATATATATATATATATATATATATACACACATATATATAAATAATCAACAGGACCCACTCTATAGCACAGGGAACTCTACTCAATATTCTGTAATAACCTAAATGGGAAAAAAGTCTGAAAAAGAATGGATATATGTATATGTATAACTTAATCACTTTGCTGTACACCTGAAACTAACACAACATTGTAAATCAACTATACTCCAATATAAAATAAAAATTAAAAAGCAAAACTGAGGTTTCCCTCAGGTTTCTTTCTGAGAAGAAATTCTGCCCAAAGATGTCTAATAATTCCTGCCCAAGAATTTCCAGCCTGCTAGCCTGCCCTACGAACTTTGGATTTGCCAGCCCCCACAATTACATAAGCCAATTCCTTTAAATAAATCTCTCTTCTATCTCCCCACACCCCTCCCCCAAATCAATGTATTTCACCACATCAAAAGAATAAGGAAGAAAAACCTTCTGGTCATTTTAACACAGAAAAAGCATTTAATAAGTCAACACCCATTCATTATCAAACTTTCAGCAAATTAGGAATAAAAAAAACCCAATTAAAGGCATCTATGAAAAACCCTCACCTAACTTAATGTACTTAATGACAAAATATTAAGGCTTTTCCCCTAAGCTTGCCAAAAAAGGCAAGGATGCCCACTCTCACTACTTCTGTTCAATACTGTACTTATGATCCCAGCCAGTGTGCATCAATCCAGAAAAAGAAATAACTGGTATAAAGATGAGAAAGGAAGAAATAAAGCTGCCTTATTCAAAGATTACATGATTTTTTACATAGAAAATCTCAAGAAATCTAAAAAAGAACTACTAGAACTAATAACTTTAATAAGGTAACAGGAGGTAAGATCTATATACAAAAATCAACCATATTTTTATATACTAGCAAAATACCAGAATATCAAAAGCACTCAAGGAAAAAAAAGAACAAAGTTATACCAGCTGACTTAAAGACTTACTGCAGAACTATATTAATCATGGCTGTTTGTAATGGCCAAAGGATACCCATTTAATTCAATGGAATAGAATAGAAAGTCCAGAAAAACATATTTTTAAGTCACTTGATTTTTCACATAAGACACTAAAGCAACCCAGTAGGGAATGGGAAGTATTTCCAACAAATGGTGATGAAACCACTTGCTATCCATACAGAAAAGAAAAAAATGAAAGTTAATCCCTAACTTACACTATATGCAAATATCAATTTAAGGTGGCTCTTAAATGTAAATATGAAAGCTAAAACTTATAAAGCTTCTAGAAGAAAACAGAAGGTTATCTTCTTGTCCTAGTGTCAGAGGTAGACAAAGGTTTCCTAGACAAAACACAGAAAGCAAAATCCACAAAAGAAAAGCATATATATCTTACAAAGGACCTACATACAGAATATATAAGAACTCACAGCTCACTAATAAAAAGGAACAACCCAATAGAAAAAAAACAGAAAATAAGAGTACCAAAAATACCAAAAAAGTGTTCAATATCAATAGACATGAGGGAAATGGGAACCAAAACTATACTGAGATAATACTACATACATCCAGAATGACTAAAATTAAAATGACAACACTAAACACTGGCGAGAACACGGATTAAGTGGTATTCTTATACTTTGCTGGTGGGAGTGTAAAACAGTACAACCACTTTGGAAAGCAAACCACTGTGATACAAAAAACATGGATAAATCTTAAAAACACTATGCTGAGTTGAAAAAAGCTGTACACAAAACGTACATATTGTATGAATTCCATTTATATGTAGTCCTAGATCAGGCAAAACTAACCTATGTTGAAATAATCAGAACAATAGTTGCCTTCTGGAAGGAGGTGGGACTGATTGGGAATGGACATAAGGTAATTCTCAAGGATGATGAAGATATTGTGTATCTTAATAGGGATGTAGGCATTTGTCAAATCTGACAAAATTATACACCTAAGATTTGATTTATGGATATGACTGTAGGTAAATTTTATCTCAAAACAAACACAAAATTCAATTAATGACTGCATGCTAAAGTGTTTAGGGAGCAAAGTTTACTGATGCTTGCAACTTCTTTTGAAATGCATTTAAAAGTTGACTGATGGATGTATAGGGAGATACATATAAATAAATATACATATATATATAAATATACACATAAAGATACATATACATATAAATAAAGCAACAGAGTGACTTTACTCTTCAGTTTGAATATTTTCATTAAAAAATGCTGGGAGTAGTGGAGAATAAGTAAGACCTTTATGTATTCACATGAAGAGATCTCCAAGATGTAGTGTTATATGTTTCATATTTATAAAGAGAACACAATAAATGCCCTTCTAAACAATGCCAATAAAACTGTATGACCCAGGTAGGTGTCTTCCACTGTGATGGCACTCAAATAACTTACACGGTTCAAAAAAATACAAAATGAAAATGATTTTAAAAAAAAAACAACAAAGCCCTGAACAATTACTTTTCCTTCTTGAGAAATGCTATTTTTGAATATTTTAGCATTGTGTATAAAATTTATTTAAGATTAAGAAAGAAGTTTTTCCAATTAACCTTTAGCACTTAGTACAACTCTGAAGATACTATAACTAGCTCAGATTAATTAATATTTTATTAACTTTCCATTTTCAGATTTTCTGTAATAGTAGCACAAATAAATCTATCTTACTTGAGATTGAGATCTCACCAATGAGAGATCAACTAAAAAAAAACATATAAAAATTTACATTAAAATTGATTTCCCTTAAAATCATTATGGTGAATAGAGTCATATTCTATGCTTTTGTAGGTTATAAAATAACTTTGGTGAAAAACGAGGAGGGAAAATCAAGAAGAGATTCAAGAAGATTAAGAACAAAACGTTTTTTACTTAAAAAAATAAGGTCAACATTCTTTGGTCATAGAGGAGATAATATAAAATTTAAAATCAAGACAGAATTTTTAATGATCAAAGGTGGCAAAAATCATAAAAGTTAAAAAAATGAAAAACAAACCTGATAGAATTAGGGAAACAGGGCACTTTGCATATCCAATAACATATAATACACTCCAAAAAAATTTAAGAATTTTAATGTAAGAATTTTAAACATATGATTTAAAAGACTTACCCTTTCTGCTTCAAAGGTAATTCAAGTTTAAATATGGTAGCATCATTAACAACTGCTTTATATGCCTACAAATAATATAAAATAAGATACGAACATTATTTTTAATACTTAAAATAGATAATTATAATTCTAAAAATACATAAAATACAAATTAGTTTTTATTTTTAATGATGTATCTGGCCAAGTCAATGATTTCAACATGCTCTTTCTCATGTTATGATTATCATTATTCTCAAGTGAGGTATTAATGCTGCCTGACAACCATAACATTTTCTCTTGTCCACACATTCTCCTAGAAAACATTTTCATACCACCTCCTTTCTCTTCAAACCTCCAGTATCTCCTCTCCCATGCATACTCTCAGCTGATGATGTGGCTTCCTAATTCACTGAGAAAACCAAAGTAATCAGAATTCCCTCCTTTTTCTCCTGTATCATCAATTTTTCCCCCCTCCATTATTTCTACAGCCTCAATATGCATACATATTATTCTTTAAATCTTAAAAACTCTCTCTTGGCTTTGTCCACCTTCAGCTACTGCCCCATATTTCTCTCTCTCTAAGCTAAACTCCTAGAAGAATTATCTAACTCACTGTCGCTAATTTCTCTACTACCATTCTTATCTGAAACTGTTCTAAACAGGCTTTCACACTACTACTCCAACTAATCATTCTTGTCAACCTCCATGTTGCTGAAGACAATGGTTAATCCCCATCTTATCTGACCTATCAGCAGCATTTTAAAACAGCAGATCCTGCCCTCCTCCTGGAAAGTGCTTTTTCCACTTGTTTTCTAGCACAGCACTCTCCTGGTCATTCCACTCATTCGCCTCTCTCCTCAGGAAAGATGGCTGGTTCCTTATCGTTATGATAACTAACTTTAAAATGCCCCAGACCAGTCCTTAGATCTCTTCTCTTTGCTATCTTCACTCTTACTTTGGAGATCATAGCCACTGTCAGTGCTTTAAAAACCATCTATATGCTGAAGCTCCCAGATTTATTTTTGCAGGCCCGTCCCCTCCCTTAAGCTCCAGATTTGATGTTGCCATATGGATGTTTAATAAGCATTTCAAAGTTAACTTGTCCAGAACTGAGTTCCTAATCTCTCTTCAACCATCTCCCCAAAACCTGCTTCTCACAAAGTCTTCATCTTCCCTCATCTCAGCAAGCATATACTTCTAATTGATTAGAACAAAAATCTGAGTGTCATCCTTGACTGATATCTTTCTATCACATTCCCCATCTGATTCCATTAGCAAGTCCTGTATAGCCTATTTTTACAATATAATCAAAATCCAACCACTTTTGACTACCTTCACCTACTATCAGAGCTTCCATCATTACTTAACTGAATTACTTAAATCGATTCTTAACCCATTTCCTTGCCTCCTCTCTGGCCCCCTTCAGTCTATTCTTTTTGCAGCAGGCAGGTGATCCTGATAAAAATGTAAGTCAGATCCTGTCATTTGGTTCAAGATATTTCTATGACTTTCTATCCTACTCAGAGTACAAATGAAACTCCTTACCATGGCTCAGTCTTACATGATCTGGCCTCCTGTTATCTCTGATTTCCTACTATTCTCCCCCTCACTCAATCCACTCTGGCCACAATGATCTCTTTCTTCTCTGGTTCTGGAACATGACAGGTATAATCCTGCCTTAGAGCCTTTGCATTTGCTCTCCCCTCAGGCTAGAGTATTATTCCCTCAGAGAGCCACATGACATATTCCTTAATCAACTTCAATCTTGATTTGAATGTCACCTCATATAAAGCCCTTTGCAGGCCACTCAATTTAATATTTCAAATGATCTCATTACCTCCATACTCCCTTAACCCATTTCCTACTTTATCTACCTAGGTACCTACCTATCTACCTTTCTTTCTACCCAAATATTTATCTAAAGGTAGACAGTAATTTTTAAAAAATGCTACTGGAGAAAGTTGATTGTGTTTTTAGAGTCTAGAAAATAATTTCACTTGGGAAGTAAGGAAAGGTAGTTGAAGAGGGGGAAAAACTAATGGTAATTCTAGTGATAGGTTTATGATGTTTAAAAAGATACGGGGCTTCCCTGGTGGTGCAGTGGTTAAGAATCCACCTGCCAATGCAGGGAACACGGGTTCGAGCCCTGCTCTGGGAAGATCTCACATGCCGCGGAGCAACTAAGCCCGTGCACCACAACTACTGAGCCTGTGCTCTATAGCCCGTGAGCCACAACTACTGAGCCCTCGCGCCACAACTACTGAGCCCTCGCGCCACAACTACTGAAGCCCACACGCCTAGAGCCCATGCTCCGCAACAAGAGAAGCCATCTCAAGGAGAAGCCGGTGCACCACAACGAAGAGTAGCCCCTGCTCACCGCAACTAGAGAAAGCCCACGTGCAGCAATGAAGACCCAACGCAGCCAAAATTAAATAAATAATATAATAAAATAAATAAATTTATTTTAAAATAATAAAAATAAAAAGATAATGACTCTAAGGATAATACTGTTTCATTATCATTATCCTAGACTATAATGATGGGAAAGAAGGTATGGAAAGCAAGAATAAATGTGATACAACTCTCACAAGAGCCCTATGAAAGGAAACAGGACAGAGAAATCAATTCTGCTTGGGATAGGATGTGGGGGGAGGCAGAGTATCAAGGAAATTCCAGGAGAAGTATACTTTGAGCTGAGTCTTAAAGGAAGGATAAATAAGAATTCAATAATCAATAATATTCAAAAACAGGAAGACATTCTTGAAAAATTAAGAAAGCAACTTTCTAGCTAAATTCTGGTTCACAAGCATACCCAGTGCTTACAAAAGCATATAAGAAACCAAATATAATATGGTTGCCCTCCACTGATGAAAAATCAGAGTTGCTAGGTTTTTTAGTTTGTAATTTAATAGCATCATGATGCAAGTTTCTTATTAAATTATGACAAGTGTTAACATACAGGAATATATACCTTGTCTCTTGCAGTAAGAAATCGTGGATCATCTTGAAAAGCTTCTTTGACAAGTCTACTAAATCTATTAAACAGTGTAAGTAACTGCTCAACATATTTCTCAGAGTCCTAAAAATAAAGTGTTGTATATTAAGTTGAGTTTAAAACAAAAATACAAAAAATGAGAAAATATAAACATAATTTTCATAACACACTATAGCTTTAAAATTTGGTAACTTTTCTGAAATATTTTTTTCTTATTAAGAAAGGTGTTCCAGCGTTACTGTTTTGCCATCAATTTAAAATACCCGATTTTAAATACCTTATCCTGCATTTACAAAATAACTTTGATATATGTCTATCATTGTCATTGAGGAGAACTTACAGTAGTAATAGTTTCAGCAGCTGCTACCATATCTGCCAGGCCTGCACTGATGATATGTTCCTCCAAGTCTTTCAACATTGGCTCTATCCCATTAGGAACTTTGTCCATTAATGAAAACATCAAATGTAATTCTGAAACGATAGAACACACCCATGTAATCATTTCATCCATCAGAACAGACTTTCTCTTTGATCTGTATCATGGATCTAGAATGCCTATGATAATAAGAGTGTGGGGAAATATTAGCTGGAAGTTGATAGCTTTAATAGTATTCTGTGGGTGCAATTAGTTTAGGACTTGTTATTGTTAAGTACTATAACTTCCTGATCTACCATATCAGTCTGACAAAAATTATTTTTAAAAGAAACTCTAATTAAAGTGATCACACACTGCAAAACCCAACTCCTCTTAAAAGGTGAGTCATTTGACCTTCAATGCAATGGAATATATTTATTCTAAGAAATACAAAAGTTTACACAGAAAATTAGTTACATTTCATAAAGTAGATGCAATGTTCAATACACAGTCACATCACTAAGGGGTAAAATACTGTCCTCAGATTGTTCAGAGTAACAAGGTAATATAAAACTGTATTCATAAAGAATTTTTCAGTTTGCAAAAAGCGCTTTCTCCTATTATCCCATTTAATTGACCTTCACAATAATCTTACCTCACAGAATGGTTACCACTAAATAAATCCTTCTGAAGTGAGTCCACCTTGGATCAGACATAACTCTACTTAGTTTGGCATACAGAACTTCAAATATTTCATTTATGCCAAATGAGAAACTTGCTTTTACTCCAAAATACTTCTGAAGAATGTAAGACTTAAGTGAACTGAAAAACGTACTTGAAAGACAACTAGAGATTAAATAGGACCTTGCAATTTTATGCAATGAAATCTAGAGAGTAATACATCAAAATGTTAAAAGTGGTTGTCTCTGAGTAGTAAGTATATGGGTAATTTTTACTGTATGCTTTTTGGTATTAATGTACTTGTTACCTCCCAAAACAGAACTTTATCATATTTAAGTAATAAAAAAATAACATTTAAGTAATAAAAAATACACTTCAGAAATCTTAAATTATAAGATATTTTGGGGGAGAGGGATGAAGATTACCAACATAGAGTGTTTTATTACTTTTTAAAAATATTTGCCACAAGGTTCCACACAAAAGTCAAAATACCTAGTTCTATCCTATACCATACGTTTACCATTTAAATTAGCCTTTAAAAGTAGCGTCCTACTTTTGGGAACAAATTGAAATTCGCATGTGAGCGCACACAAACATACTGATACCTAAGGGGGAGAAATGCTTAAAATATAAATTTATAAAGAAGATTTTCTTTACAGTGTTTCTAACTATGCTAAATATTTTTATCATTTTCTTTACGCAGTTTGCCATAACAAAAATACCTATGTATAAAAGAATGATCTAACAGCAATTTACTAAAAGTGATGTGCTTCAAAGATATCCTCTTAAAAGAGTATGAGAACTTTATGTGATGTTTTACCTACTTTCAGTTTCATTTCTCTTGATCATGCCTTGGCACTCTGCTAAGATAGTCTCTTTAAAGGATGTCACCAGGGCATTTACACAGCATTCCATGAGCTGAAATACATCAAAAATTGGTCAAGGCTATTATAAGCAACAATAAGGCACAGATCTATTCCACTCCATTTTGCTTCATAGTCCCACAAAACCACAATGTTCAACAACAACAAAAAACTAAGAATACTGAAAGTAGATTTTACTTACCTTTACTAGAGGATTGTTGAAGATGGATACTCTATTTTAGTTTACCAAAGCATACTTCCCCCTAAGGAAAAGGCTATAGAACTTAGGTTCTCTTTAGAAATTTTAATGAAAGTCCCCAACAAGGGGAGGAAAAAAACTTTTTAATCTACAAAACAAACTGAAAAACTAAACTTTAATGAACTCTCATCTGGAGAGAACCTGTGTTGGAATTAGATTCTAAAATGCTAGAAGTATGAACATCCATTCAACACATAGTAGGTTTCATTGCTGTGAGCACCAAAGAAGTGTTAGGATACAAAGAATAAGCTATAACCTCTGCTTTGGAGAAAATCACTGTCTTATTGAGGGTGGGGAGGGAAGCAAACTTTAATAAATACAACTCAGTTAAGTGGCAAAACACACACACACACAAACAGAAACAAACAAAGGAACTACTATTTTTTTCTGGGTAGTTAAAAAGGTCTCATCCACAAGATGAAATCTAAATTGGATATTGAAAAGTACAAATCTTAAAATGGATTGGGTATTCTAAGAAAAAAAAGCTGAATATGAAGAGAGTGGGAGAGAAAGGTAGACTGGAGCCAGATTATGAATGAAAATCTATGGTTTGGGATTTTACTCTATAGGTAGGGAAGGTTTTAAACAGAAGATAAATGTAACAAGCTTCTATTCCCCCACCAAGTCATTTTTAAAAGGTCAGTCTAATGTCAGCAAGGTAGGTGGTACTGAGTGGTGGTGGGGAGACTGGCAAACATGGCTGTTGAAAGATTGCAAGTAAGATGGTCAGGGTCTAATGTTCTAGCTGGCTCCACTCCATCACTGCTCCTTCGTGTCATATATTTACTCTTCTTGCAGGTATCAAAATGAACAGGTTGTGATTACTAACACTAAGACTGATACCTCTCTTCTGAAAAACAGATCATCTGTCTGTATTAAGGAAGGGAATTGTGTGTGCCTTAAAAGTTCTTTGCTAAAAATTCCTCTTGGAATTGACATAATGTTGTTATATTACTGAAGTTAAATTTATGTAATGGAGATTCATTATATCACTGTTTCCACTTTTTAAAATGTTAAAAAAATTTCCATAATAAAAGGAATTTTTTCAGATTCCTCCCTCTATGAGAATTACACTAATGACTTTAAAGTCCATGTATGTCAATTTCTGTCCTAAGAAGAACAACATACATATGAAATGGTTGAGAAATTTCTGCCAAGGTGGGAAGCTCTGCCCCAATTACTGAGTAATCTCATTCTATACCAGCCCTGGAATATGCACAATGGAACACGCCCACCTTTGACAGAGAATAGGTAAATCTAACTATATACAACTAATGAAGAAGAAACAAAGTGCAATCAGATTAAGCTCTGTTTTCTAAAATAAGCTCTATTTTCTGTTTTCTAAAATAATCCCTGTTTTCTGTTTCACTGAAAATTTACACTTGAACATAATCTAGTTCAGGAGTAGTCCAAATTTTGCAGACTCCAAAAATCATGTGTCATGTGTTTCAAACTGTTGTGAAACAGCTTGTTTTTTTTTAAATATAGAACAGAAAAAAAAAAATCAGAGTGCATCACATATAAAAACAACGAATATTATTTCATAACATTGTTTCAGATATGAGCAAATAAACAAAGCATATACTAAGTCACAATAAAAAATGTATTTCTTATTGTGGGTTACAATGAGGATTTAAAGGAGAGACTAGGGAGGCTAGGTGTCCAGTGGTTAGGACTCGGGCTCTCACTGCCATGGGTCTCGGTTCAATCCCTGGTCAGAGAACCAAGATCCTGCAAGCCACGTGGTGCGACCAAAAAAATAACATAACATAACATAACATAAACTAGAGGCTAAATTGACAAGATAGCTGAAGTAAACTGAGCAGAATTTGGTAACTGCTTAGATGAAAGGAGTTAGGAATATAAAGGTTACTGAAACACTTTCTAGCTTGAAAGGTTAAACAAGTTATTATAATAACAAACATCTTTTAATGAGCACCTACTCTGTAAATGCTTTACATACATTATCTGATTAACCCATATGTCATTTAACTCATGAAAACCTTATGAAGCAGATATTTAACATATGAGGAAACAAGCTTACAGAGGCTAAGTAACTTACAAATGTTACACAATTAGTTCATAAGGTCTTGAGCTGTAATATGAGGCCAGGTATGTGACTCCAAGCCTACAACTTTTGATACTACATTAAGAGAGCAAGTATATATTTAGTAATGGCTATGTGCTCAGAAATGAGTTAAGTGTTGTAAGGAATAGAGAAGATAAAACATGGTTTATACACTCAATGCTCTTACAATCCAGTTTGGGATATGTAACTATAGTGTATCTAAAATGTGTGCATACTTCATACATAACAGAGGTATATGAAAAGTTCAATTTCACCAATAAAGCAAAGAGATGGAAATAAACACATTATTACTACACTATAAATAAACTTCACAAGGACAGAGACTGTGTTCCAGCCAGCTACATATTCATGGACTCAACACATTTGGTGCTTGATAAATAACACAACAAAGTAGCCTATAATTTGCTACTAAATCAAGTTGTAGAAACAATTGGTACAGTGGGAATTCAAATAACAGGAAATGGATGAAGGCTAGAGTATTTGGGGAGACTCGCAAGATGGGCTTTAAGAATTCTGAAGGATTTGAATAGGCAGAAAAGAAATGTAAAACATTACTTAAAGAGAATGAATCCAAGAAAAAAACGAATAGAATGAGGTATATGAATAAGAAAATATTTCTTATTGGGTAGAATGACTCTTACTGGACAGTATTAAGTTAGAAAAATAAGTTATGGCCAAATTATGAAGGGCCTTGAAAATCAGAGATAGGAAATCAAGATACTATGGTTTTTTGAATAAAGAAGTAAAATAATGAAAGAGTACCTCAACTCACAAAAGAAGAAATACAAATGGTCCATAATAAGAATAAAGTAGTAAAAAATCCAATGTTCTTAATGATAGGAACTAGCAGATGGATATTCCCTTGAATTAAACAATTAATGTCAATCCTAAAAAATAAAGATACCCAGCCTCATTAGCATTTTTTTTTTTTTTTTGGGCTGCACCATGCAGCATGTGGGATCTTAGTTCCCCAACCAGCGATCGAACCCGCACCCCGTGCATTGGAAGCGCAGAGTCTTAACCACTGGACTGCCAGGGAAGTCCCCTAGTAATTTTTAAATGCACATTTAAAAATATTTTAAAATCTACGATACTGGGAAATTGGCAAAATTAATAGACTGAAAAAACCCAGATCAGCAAAGATAAACAGGTATATTGTTAATGGGAATCAGAATTACAACATTTCTGAAAATCAGTTTGGTCTTATATAGCAATCTGTAAAAGGTGCATACCCTTTGCTTCAGCAATCTCATTTCCAGGAAACTCCATTCTAATAGAATGCCACATGTAAGAAAGATGTATACATAAAGATTTTAAAAATATATCAGGATATAAGATATAAACATGTAAATACATTCCAGGAAGTACTATTTATTAAAAAAAACCATAATAATAACAAATAATAATGAAAATTCCCATCATTAGAGAAGTAGTTAGGTATATTATAGTACATATATATGATGAAATATATACAGGCAATAAAAGTAATGTTATAATATAGAAGTGTTTAGAGTAAAAATGTACATCATAACGTCTTTAAATGCTAGAGGAAAGGAAGAAAGAGAGAAAAGAAAGAAAAGATGGAATTCCCTGGCAGTCCAGTGGTTAGGACTTGACATTTTCACTGCCAGGGCCCAGGTTCAATCCCTAATCAGGGAACTAAGATCCTGCAAGCTGCACAGCCCGGCCAAAAAAAAAAAATTTTTTTTTAATTAAAAAAAAATAAAGAAAAGAAGGAAAGGGAAGGGAAGGAAATGAAAGGAGAGGAGAGGAGGAAAGGGGAAAAAGGAAAGAAAAGAAAAAAAGGATCAACCAAGCAAGTATGACAAAATGATGATCATTGTTGCTGGTTAGGTTTGGAGGGTGGGGTTCATTATACTATTTTCTCTACTTCTGAAAATATTTGAAAAGTTTCATAACAAATATTTTTTTAAAAAATAAAGAGAAGGGCTTCCCTGTTGGCACAGTGGTTGAGAGTCCGCCTGCCGATGCAGGGGACACGGGTTCGTGCCCAGGTCTGGGAAGATCCCACATGCCGCGGAGTGGCTGGGCCCGTGAGCCATGGCCGCTGAGCCTGTGCGTCCGGAGCCTGTGCTCCACAACGGGAGAGGCCACAACAGTGAGAGGCCCGCGTACCGCAAAAAATAAATAAATAAATAAATAAAAATAAAGAGAAGAATCATGGTATAGATCCCTGTGTATTGAAAATCCTTTAGAAAACTATTTTATGTAGGCAAAAAGAAGAAAGGGAGGTTGCTTGATAGAGTTCTCTCCTTATCTCCAAAGAGTCTTAACAAGAGGGTCAGTTTCTTGAGGGCAGGGACCATTTTATTCCTCTTTTGTATTTTTCTCCCCATCATTTACCAAAGTTCTACATACAGAGTCAACCCTGAGTATATACTTGTTATTTGAAAAATACGTCTTGAATGGAAAGGATAGTGATAAACCATCTCTCTCACCTTGTATTCCCTTTCTGTCTCCTTTTGCTAGCTTCCGTGAAGAAAAAAACTTTTTGCCATATGTCATCAACTCCTGTATTTTGCCTTCTAAATCCATAGCAATCTCCCCAGAGGTCTGCAAGGTGAAACACTTTAACTATCAATGTGCTTGATGTTTTACCTTCCTTTATAGCAAAACTCTTCAAAGATGATGCCTGCCATAAAACACAGCAGGCACTCAGTATTTGTTGAATGAATGAATGCACAGCTCTGTGAAGATGAGAAAGGTGGGATACGTAGGCTAACTGATGTACTAGAGTCTTTTTCTAGTGATATTCAATTTGCACAATGCTACTTCACTGAAGTTTAATAAAAACAATAGGAACAGTTCTGATTTTTGTTAGTTATGTAATTCCCTATAAGTTATAATTTGCTTTTGCCTTAGCTATAAAATAGAGGAGTTGAATTAAAAATCATCCTAGATTACTCCACCTTAAGATTCTACTTTATCATTATCAGGTCTCTAACCATACAAGGATATGGTTATGTATTCAAGAATTCATTTATTCCATGTGTGGTAGGCTATTCTCAAAATTAACTTCTTTTTTTTTAAAGATTTTTTTAAACCTTTATAACCAGTGTTTCTTGCTTCACTTCTCAACTAGTTATACAAGTAACTCTCTACATAGACAATGGAGTCAGACTCACCCTGACTTTTTAAATACCACCCTTAATATACTTAAATACTGAAGGTTAACAAGTACTTTACTTACTTTAATGTTAACAACTTATGACTTGTGACCTTGTTGCTAATTCCATTTTTTATCAATATTTTGCACAGGTAGCAAAATAGTGTCTATCTGTCTGAGAATCAGTAAGCAACGTCTGTAAACCACAGCCCTAAACAGTAAAAACTACCATGCCAGGCACAGCACTTAATGTTTTGATATAGTAGTTCATTAAACACAAGTGGGTATTACCCCACTTTACAGTTAGGAAAACAAGGATTACAAAGGTTGAAGAAATTGACAAAGGGCACACAGCTGGTAAAATGACAATGGAATTCAAATCCTCATCTTCCAACATGTATGTCCCTAACCAGTGTAATACACTGCTTCCCTATCAGAGCTCTGGTCAATGAGAAGAAATGAAGACCTGCCATCACCATTTCACTCTCTATTCCATTATTCCACTGTATAAACAATCCATTTTATTCTAGTGTTACTTTGAAGATAGGAACCCGTTCTACCTTCTTATCCCCACTAGCACAAGGCCTGACATAGTTTAGGTGCACAATAAATGACTGCCTTCAGGTAAAACCAAGCTATACAGGACTATCACCTAAAATACTAATAGCCACAGAAAAAAATTTTTAAGTAATTTTTAAAAATATTTTTTCTCATTCTTTTCTTACTGTTACGTGTCACTTTTCTGTCAATGCCTCTTCAAACAGCACAGCTCTGAAGCCTCTTACCTGGTTTTACTAATATACGGTGCTCATTTGCTAGAGGCCCATCCAGTGATAATCAAGCTCATTAGAATTGTGTTGGGGCTAAGCTGGATCTGGGTGGGGCTAAGTTGTTCTCCTATAAGCAAAAGTTGAAGACTGGGCCTGTCAGACACCTAATGCAATGCCCCTGCTCAGAACTCTTGGCCTAACTTACTGTTTAAGTTCTCCACTGAACTGCAAGTAGCTAAAGTTGCTAAAAGGGTTATCTTCTGGATGAGTCAAGTATTACTATATCATACCTACTACAAACACATTGACAACTCAAGCATGCTTGCACATGTGTACAAAGACACACACACAAAGCATTTGATCCAAGTTTGGGCACTCAACCCAAGCTAGGCCAATTACAGCTAGGCTAATTAACACCGGTGGAACAAGACTCCTCTCAGGTCACAAACTGGAGGGACAAACTGGCAGCATTCATGGTCCTGACTTCAATTTAACACAGGTTCATTGGTGACACAGATACCATGAACAGTATCACTACAGATGATATAAATTTCCAACAGTGAAAAAAATTTAAGATTCCAAACAAAAAATATATTTTCATTGCTCAATTTACACAACAACATACCTAGAAAATGAAGTGTATTACTAATATCATGCAAAAATGCTCTGGTTTAAAAGTAAAATGAAATTAAATTCTAGACTCAGATATCTAAGTGTAAACAAGATTTTCATTTACATGAGTGGCTACGGGAGCACTGAATATTATTTTTGGGATATGGGCTAATTCTTATTTATGTGGGACAGTCTGAGCACTGTGAGACATGTAGCATTCCTGGACTCCATTCACTAAAAATCAATCATTGTGACAACCAAAAAAAAAAAAAAGCCTCCACAAATTTCAATAACACTCTCTGGAGGTAGATACTATCTTCATTGAAAATCTCTGGCCTAGAGATTTCAGTTCAAAATATCAATATATTAGCCTATCCAAACAGCATAACTCACTTTTCTTCGATTCATCTCTATTAGAATCTGCTGTACTGACAACAAGCAAATCCAAATGAAAGTTGAATTAGGATAAATCTATAAAAGGATCCTAAAAATATTGTTATTACATGCTAAACCAAACATTTAAACATTTTATGTATAAAAAACAGAAATATCTTGAGAGTAACTTTTATTGGCTATATAGTATATGTCAAAATCCCTTTGGGGTATACATTTTTATCCATTAAAAATGGGACTTTGGGACTTCCCTGGAGGTCCAGTTGTTAAGACTCCACACTTCCATTGCAGGGGGCACAGGTTCAATCCCTGGTTGGGGAACTAGGATCCCACATGCTGCACAGTGTGGCCAAAAAAAAAGGCAGGGGGACTTTCTGTTCTATCCTAAAATGAAAGAATGCTATTATGTTAGGAACTCTGTTAATGTGATTTCCTGAATTAGTTCAACGGAGGAAAATGCCACATGATCATCTCCATTAATGCTTCCCAAATAATAAAGGCATTCTTCACAATATTCTTTATTTTTTTACATTTTATTTTGATTTTAGCCTTACATATAAGTTGTAAAAATAGCAGAGAGTACCTATACATCCATCACCCTATTTCCCATAATGGTAACTTTTTACATAACTACAGCACAACTATCAAAACCAGGAAAATAATATTAGTACAATATTAATTAACTACAGACCTTATTAGAAATTCACAAGTCTTTCCTATTCCAGGATGCTATCTACAAACCCAGATTACATTTTGTTGTTAGTTTTACTAGTCTCCTCCAATCTGTGACAATTTCTTGGTCCGTGTGTGTGTGCTATGATCTGGACACATTTAATTTTTATTGGCATATAGTTGCTTTACAATGTTCTGTTAGTTTCTACTATACAGCAAAATGAACCAGCTATACATATACATATACTCCCTCTTTTTTTTGGATTTCCTTCCCATTTAGGTCACCACAGTGCATTAAGTAGAGTTCCCTGTGCTATACAATATGTTCTCATTAGTTATTTATTTTATACACAGTATCAATAGGGTATATGTCAAACCCAATCTCCCAGTTCCTCCCATCCTCCTCTTTCCCTCTTGGTATCCATACATTCGTTCTCTACCTCTGTGCCTCTATTTCTGCTTTGCAAACAGATTTCATCTACACCATTTTTCTCGATTCCACATACGTACGTTAATATACGATATTTGTTTTTCTGACTTCACTCTGTATGACAGTCTCTAGGTCCATTCACATCTCTACAAATGACCCAATTTCATTCCTTTTTACAGCTGAGTAATATTCCATTGTATACACGTACCATATCTTCTTTACCCGTTCCTCTGTTGATGGACATTTAGGTTTGCTTCCATGTCCTGGCTATTGTAAATAGTGCTGCTGAGAACATAGCGGTGCATGTGTCTTTTTGAATTATGGTTTTCCCTGGGTATATACCCAGTAGCGGGATTGCTGGGTCATATGTTAGTTTTATTTTTAGTTTTTTAAGGAAACTCCATACTGTTTTCCATTTACATGGCTGTATCAATTTACATTCCTACCAACAGTGCATGAGGGGTCCCTTTTCTCCACACGCTCTCCAGCATTTGTTTGTAGATTTTTTGATGATGGCCATTCTGACCCGTATGAGGTGATACCTCATTGTAGCTTTGATTTGCATTTCTCTACTAATTCATGATGTTGAGCATCTTTCCACATGCCATCTGTATGTTTTTTGGAGAAATTTCTATTTAGGTCTTCCACCCATTTTTTGATTAGGTCGTTTTTTTCTATATTGAGCTTCATGAGCTGCTTGTATATTTTGGAGATTAATCCTTTGTAAGCTGCTTTGTTTGCAAATATTTTCTCCCATTCTGAGGGTTGTCTCTTTGTCTTGTTTATGGTTTCCTTTGTTGTGCAAAAGCTTCTAATTAGGTCCCATTTGTTTATTTTTGTTTTTGTTTCCATTACTCTAGGAGGTGGGTCAAAAAAGATCTCACTTCAATTTATGTCAGAGTGTTCTGCCTATGTTTTCCTTTAAGAGTTTGATAGTGTCTGGCTTTACATTTAGGTCTTTAATCAATTTTGAGTTTATTTTTGTGTGTGGTGTTAGGGAATGTTCTAATTTCATTCCTTTACATGTCCAGTTTTCCCAGCACCACTTATTGAAGAGGCTGTCTTTTCTCCATTGTATTATATATTTTTGCCTCCTTTGTCATAGATTAGGTGACCATAGGTACGTGGGTTTATATCTGGGCTTTATATCCTGCTCCATGGATCTATATTTCTGTTTTTGGGCCAGTAACATACTGTCTTGATCACTGTAGCTTTGTAGTATAGTCTGAGGTCAGGGAGCCTGATTCCTCCAGCTCCGTTTTTCTTTCTCAAGACTGCTTTGGCTATTCAGGGTCTTTTGTGTTTCCACACAAATTGTAAAATTTTTTGTTCTAGTTCTGTGAAAAATGCCATTGGTAATTTGATAGGGATTGCACTGAATCTGTAGATTGCTTTGGGTAGTATAGTCATTTTCACAATATTAATTCTTCCAATCCAAGAACTTGGTGTATCTCGCCATCTGTTTGTGTCATTTTGGTTTCTTTCATCAGTATCCTACAGTTTTCTGCATACAGGTCTTTTGCCTCCTTAGGTAGGATCTTGACACTTTTAAAGAATAGTAGCCAGTTAT